CACTTATCATTAATGAAATAATAACAGAAAACAATCTTAATGCACTCTGTCTCACTGAAACCTGGCTGAAACAAAATGACTATATTAGCTTAAATGAAGCAACTCCTCCAGGATTCTTATATAAACATGAGGCTCGTCAAACTGGTCGTGGTGGTGGAGTTGCATCAATCTTTAGTGATTTCCTTAATATTAAACAGAGAAACGGACTTATGTTTAGCTCCTTTGAAGTATTATCGCTTAATGTTCAGCTTCCAGATACTATACAAAAACCTATGTTATCTCTCGCTTTAATCACCATATATAGACCCCCAGGACCCTATGTCAAATTTCTAAAAGAATTTTCTGATTTTATTTCTGACTTACTAGTCAAAACTGATAAAATGCTAATTGTAGGTGACTTTAACATCCACATAGATGACGCTAATGATACATTAGGGCTCGCGTTTATGGATTTAATACACTCACTTGGGATAAAGCAAAACGTTGTGGGTCCAACCCATCGCTTAAAGCATACATTAGATCTAATTCTGTCTTATGGAATCGAGGTTATTGACGTAGACATTATACCACAAAGTGATGATATTACAGATCACTACCTCTTACTATATAAGCTATGTTTACCTGAAATCAGCAAACCCGCTCCAATACTCCGCCCTAGTAGAACTATTGTTCCGTCAACTAAAGATGAATTTATAAATAACTTACCTGATCTCTCTCTATTTCGTAATGCACCAGCAAATTCAAATGATCTTGATGTAGTAACCAGCAGTATGGATGCCATCTTTACTAGCACACTAAATACTGTGGCACCCATCAAATTAAAAAAGGCTAGAGAGATTAAAACTATACCATGGTATAATAGTCATACTCGTGCGCTCAAAACAGCAACCCGCGCCCTGGAACGTAAATGGAAAAAAACTAATTTAGAGGTCTTTAGAATTGCGTACAAAGACAGTATGTCCAGCTATAGGAGGGCTCTAAAATCTGCCAGGACCGAGCACCTGCGCAAACTGATAGAAAATAATCATAACAATCCTAGATTTTTATTTAACACCATCTCTAAATTAGCAAATAATCGGTCATTCTTGGAACAAACTACTCCACCGCAAATTAGTAGTGATGACTTCATGAATTTTTTCAGTAATAAAATAGAAGGCTTTAGACAGAAAATAGGAGATGCCAAACTTTCTGCACCGGCTTATACTCCAAATCCTGTAAATATTTCATTAAATCATAATAATAACCTACACTGCTTCAAAATCATAGAACATGAAGAGTTAGTAAAAATTATAAATAGCTCTAAACCAGCTACGTGTATGCTGGACTCAATTCCAACAAAATTACTGAAAGAGCTGCTACCTGCTATAGGAGAACCTCTTCTTAACATTATCAACTCTTCTTTATCTATAGGCCATGTTCCAAACTCTTACAAGCTAGCTGTTATTAAGCCTATTATTAAGAAACCGCAACTAGACACCAACAACTTAGCTAACTATAGGCCTATTTCAAATCTTCCATTTATGTCTAAAATACTAGAAAAAGTTGTTTCCACTCAATTATGCTCTTATCTGCAGACGAACAATATTTTTGAAGTGTTTCAGTCAGGTTTCAGGGCTCACCACAGTACAGAAACCGCCTTAGTGAAAATAACCAATGATTTACTCTTAGCTGCTGACCGAGGGTGCGTCTCGCTATTAGTTTTACTCGATCTTAGTGCGGCATTTGATACCATAGACCACAATATCCTCATAAATCGCTTAAAGTCTACAGGTGTCCAGGGACAGGCTCTACAATGGTTTAAGTCATACTTAACTGACCGCTACCAGTTTGTAAATCTTAATGGACAGCCTTCACAAATCTGCCCAGTAAAGTATGGGGTGCCTCAAGGATCAGTTTTAGGCCCTTTACTGTTTACAATTTACATGCTACCTATGGGAGACATTATTAGAAGACATGGGATCAGCTTTCACTGCTATGCAGATGATACTCAATTATATATTTCCACTAAACCTGACGAGACGTCTGAACTTTCTAAACTAACTGAGTGTATCAAAGACATCAAAGACTGGATGACCAACAATTTTCTTCTCTTAAACTCAGACAAAACAGAATTATTACTTATTGGGCCTAAATCTTGCACACAGCAGATCTCGCAACTCAATTTACAATTAGAGGAATACAAAGTTAGCTTTAGCTCTACTATAAAAGATCTGGGTGTCATATTAGACAGCAATCTAACTTTTAAAAACCATATATCCCATGTCACTAAAACTGCCTTCTTTCATCTGAGAAATATCGCTAAATTACGAAATATGCTATCCATCTCAGATGCAGAAAAGCTAGTCCATGCTTTTATGACTTCGAGACTGGATTACTGTAATGCTCTATTTGCTGGCTGCCCAGCATCCTCTATTAACAAACTTCAATTAGTACAAAATGCAGCAGCCAGAGTTCTGACCAGGTCTAGAAAATATGATCATATAACCCCAATTTTATCCTCCTTACACTGGCTGCCTGTTAAATTTCGTATTGAATTTAAAATATTACTTCTCACCTATAAAGCTCTAAATAATCTAGCTCCTGTTTATCTAACCAACCTTCTGTCTCGCTACGAACCAACTCGCTCCTTAAGATCTCAAAATTCAGGGCTTCTGGTAGTACCTAGAATAGCAAAATCAAGTAAAGGAGGTCGAGCCTTCTCTTTCATGGCTCCTACACTCTGGAATAGCCTTCCTGGTAATGTCCGAGGCTCAGACACACTCTCCCAGTTCAAAACTAGATTAAAGACCTATCTGTTTAGTAAAGCATACACTCAGTGCATCACCTAGCAGGTTCCACACTGGCTTCCACATCTTGCTTATATACACTATGAACAGCAGCTACGCTAATTATTCTCTTTATTCTCTATTTTCACCTGGGGATACTCATCCCGAGGTCCTCAGATTAGGCGGAGTCACTGATTGGATCCAAGACCAGCGACGTGATGATCCCAAGGATTCCATATCCGGGACCAGGCCATATCCTGAGCTGCTGATGGTCGTGGGGAGTGGAGAACATGAGTCTGATTCCAGCGACGCTCCAGGGACAGACGAGTCTTCTTCTTCTTCATTTAGGCCATCTTCCAGCATAAACCACGGCGAATGAAGTTCTGCACAAGACTTTTGGCCAGCAGAGAAATTAAAATGGTCGTGCCCAACTGAGTCTGGTTCTCTCAAGGTTTTTTTTCTTCACTCCCATCAGGTGAAGTTTTTTTTTCCCTCTCCGCTGTCGCCACTGCCTCGCATGGTTCAGGATTGGTAGAGCTACGCATCGATGAATTGGCTCTTCAGTGTTTGAACTCTCAGTAATGATTAAATCACACTGAACAGAGCTAAACTGAACTGAACTGAACTTAAACACTAAAACCTGAACCACACTGTTCCAGTTACTATGACCATTTATGTGAAGCTGCTTTGACACAATCTACATTGTAAAAGCGCTATACAAATAAAGCTGAATTGAATTGAATTTGTGAAATAGTAAAATAGATAAATAAAATAGAAGGGGGGTTAATAATTCTGACTTCAACTGTATGTCTATATATATATATATATACATATATAATTAATACAATAAAAATTATATACAAATATATAAAAAAAATATTTACACCTAAAAAACACTGTTTTTGCCTGCAATCTCTATCATAATGGGAAGAATTAATATTATATTGCACTGCTCTACTAAATTAAAGCCATGAAAAAGCAATAATAATAATTAATAAAATAATAGAAGAAAAACAGATCTTTGTCTCCATCTTACTGTGTGACAAATATTCACAGTTACTGATTTCAAACGCAAAACGATCATCCAATCAAACGAGAGCTCATTTGCATACAGACTTTCTTAGTGAAAGAACAAAAACGACATTTGTCATAAATATTCAGTTACTGATTTTGCATGCAAAAAGATCAGCCAATCAAACGAGAGCTCATTTGCATTCTTTCTCAAAGAAAGAAAAACTAGATCTTACTTTGTCACAAATATTCGGGTTACTAATTTCACACACTAATTGTTCAGCCGATCAAATTAGTGCTCATTTGCATACACACTTTCTCAGGGTAAGAAGCAAAACTAGATCTTACTTTTCGGGTATCTTTGTCACAATTATCTAAAGTTACTGATTTCACATGCAAAAAATAAAAAATAAATAAAAAAATAAATCAGGCAATCAAACGAGAGTTCATTTGCATACAGACTCTCACAAATATTCAGTTACTGATTTTGCATGCAAAAAAAAAAATCAGCCAATCAAACGAGAGCTCATTTGCATACAGAATCTTCCAAATATTCAGTTACTGTTTTTGCATGCAAAAAGATCAGTTAATCAAATGAGAGCTCATTTGCATACAGACTTTCTTAGTAAAAGAACAAACACGACATCTTAGTCATAAATATTTAGCTACTAATTTTGCATGCAAAAAGATCAGCCAATCAAACGAGAGCTCATTTGCAAACAGACCTTCTTAGTGAAAGAACAAAAACGACATCTGTCATGAATATTCAGTTACTGATTTTGCATGCGAAAATATCAGCCAATCAAACGAAAGCTCATTTGCATACAGACTCTTACAAATATTCAGTTACTTATTGTGCATACACAAAGATCAGCCAATCAAACAAGAGCTCATTTTCATACAGACTTTCTCAGAGGAACAAAAACAACATTTGTCAAAAATATTCATAATTACTGATTTCACATACAAAAAGTTCAGCCAATGAGAGCTCATTTGCATAAAAACTATCTTAGTGAAAGAACAAAAAACATCTTACTGTCACAAATATTCAGTTACTGATTTCATACGCTAAATGTTCAGCCAATCAAATGAGAGCTCATTTGTATACAGACTTTCAAATGTATTTACAGTTACTGATTTCAAATGCAAAAAGATCAGCCAATCAAATGAGAGCTCATTTGCATACAGACTTTCTCAGAGGAAGAAGAAAAAACTAGATCTTACTTTTTGGGTGGCACCTGTCCAACGTTGACCTTGACGCAGATGACTTTGCGTGTCTGGATGCCAGCGGTGCAGGAGGCTCTATCTGCGTTGCTGGAGGAGCTGTTGAGGCTAGAGGAGCTGCCGTCCTCCACACACAGGCTCCAGGGCCCCGTTTGCCAGTGGTACACCACACAAGCGTGCTCATTACAGTTACGCACCTGCTGTAAGGCACTGGTGTTCGGGCAGCTGGATCCTCCTGCAGGAGTGTGAAGATATGGGATAAGATTAGGATTGACGTGGTCGGCCATGTTTGTGGACAAACGCAGGAGAGCACAATGTAAACCAACGGAGATCACAACAGAAAAAAGTTAAAATAAAAACTCTTTCTTCCTCATTTTTCCCTTTGCATGTGTCTTTGTGAATAGCGAGGCAGGTCAAGTGTTCATTTTCTCAGATCTCCACTTGACGGCGGCGTCTCCAGTCGCTTAAACTTGTTGTAAATTGATTAAGACGAAACACTCCACATAATTGCCGCCTGCTAATTCATCAGGAGTGGCAGGAAGTCGATGAGCGGCGCGCGAGTCTGAATAATGGCTGACATTTACAGGTTTGCAGATGACAGAAGAGCCCAGCGGGACTCTGAATCAAAGCTGCAGTGTTACACCTGCCTGCTTTCACTTCATAACACACACACACTGCATTAAAGATAGCTGCTATGATGGTCACATTCATTACACTGGAGATTAGCAGCTTTATACTAGATGCGGAGCTGAAGAATATACTGTAATAGTTTTTTATGATGTGTTAATCATAAAATAAGCTAAATAAGCTAAGTTTTTTTATGTTTATGAGGGATTCTTCCATTTTAAGGCACTTTTGACGCATTAAAAACATCTGTTTTGCAATTAATTGTCATTTTAATAAAGCTCTTATAGTGACAAAGTTATATATAGACTAGTTGTTATAGACTTATCTTATAGTTCTGATTATTTTACATTAGTTCTGCATTAGTTTATTAAGATTATTTTAATCCAAATGCGTCTAATATAACAACAATAATAATAATAATAATAATAATAATAATAATAATAATAATAATAATAATAATAATAATAATAATAATAATAATAATAATTTATTTCTGGTCAATTATTTTTAATAAAAGTATTAGTAATTTTGCTGTGTAATGTTTATTTTTATTTCAGTTATATACATATTCTAGTTTCTTTAGTATGTAAATTTGACCAAGTAAAACTGAAATGATAAACATTTTTTTTAAAAAGTTTTTTTTTTTACTAACACCTAGAATTTTTTTTTTATAAATATGAATGAAGCAATAAAAATGACAATACAACTGTTATATCACACTGTTTTATGCAATTTGAAGAAAACTTTTAATGTCTTAAAACAATTTAACAATACTTTACATTTACATTTACATTTAGTCATTTAGCAGACGCTTTTATCCAAAGCGACTTACAAATGAGGACAAGGAAGCAATTTACACCACTAAGAGCAACAATGAATAAGTACTAAAGGCAAGTTTCAGGTCTGTAAAGTCTAAGAAGGGAAGTGTTAGTAATTTTTTTTTTTTTTTTTTTGTACAGTTAGTGTGATATTCAAATAGGCAATTGCAGATTAGGAAGTGAAGTGGAGACTAAATAGTTGAGTTTTTAGTCGTTTCTTGAAAATAGCGAGTGACTCTGCTGTTCTGATGCAGTTAGGGAGTTCATTCTACTAATTTAAAGAGTTTTTTTTTTACTTTATTCATAATGTGATGATTATAATAAATCTGCTGACAGATTGTGTGTGTTTTTATGTGTCATACCACACAAGAGATGCCACTTCTAATTTTAAGCAAAAGCAAATATAAACTTCCTGTAAAAAACGTGTATCCCGGACGAGCCCCTATTTTTACACACCCAGCTCTTAAGCTGCATCAAAAAGGGGGACCAGACATAACCAAAACTGACAAAATAACATTTATCTTAACATAAATATAACATAAACAATATAAGATATACAAAAAGAAGAGCCAGGGCCAAATGGAATAGTCAACACAATTAAACATTCCTCCCACAAACGAAAGCTGTTTATGTGCGCATCTAAATAAGCGATACCTGTGTATCATTCAAAAAACAGATAAAGAAATGTAAAAAATAAATAATTACTAATAATAACAACAACAATAAAAAATAATCATAATAATAATATTAAATAACAAGAGATGCCACTTCTAGATCTCATTATAAACAAATATAACAGCTGTCCAATCAAAAAACAGATAAAGAAATGTAAAAAAAAACAATATAATAAAAATAATAAAATCTAGAGAGATGCCACTTTAAAATTTCATCTTAAACAAATTGTAGCAGATGTCATGTGTGTTTAAGATCTTATGCCAGTTCACCTAGGAACTAATTAAGGCGGAGCTAATTTCAGGGGGAACTATAAAAATGATGCACCACTGTGAGTAGAGAGACCAATGCATTCACTTCCAAGCATTCAACAAGCTAAGGAATGCTTATGCTTTTCTTGAGTTTCTCCCTTCCGTAACCAGCCAATGAGGTATGTTTGTTTTGTATGATTTGTTGGTTTTGTTTGATTTGAAGTGTGGTGTTGTTGTTGCTGTTTGTTTGGTGTGTGCATTTAACTGTTTGTTTATGAGCGGTGCTATTTATAAAGTTAAATTGTATTAGTTAAGATTATGGGATCCAGTGTTATGTGTGACCTTAATGTGGTGATTTGGATTAATTTGATATGGAAATGCACTGTTGTAATTCATTGTTGTATGTTTTTTAGTTCTTACGTCTGGTACACCCCTGATGTCTTGTGGTTTGCTCTATGTTGAGAACTGAAGACTTGCTATGAAAATAAACCAGTCAGTAGAAACCAAAGACTCTTGCTCGTTTGTTGCTGGAGGGAGCTACACAAATATAAACTTCCTTGGAAAAAACATATGTATCCCAGACAAGTCCCCTATTGTAGCAGCCCACTCTTAACGAACTAGGGGTGTCACGATTTCGATTTTTAATCGAAATCGATCGAAATTTATGCTCAATTTCGATTATCGAATAAAAAAATAGAATCGTCGATGCTGCCACGCCCCCATGTCACGTTAGCTTGGCTTGCCAAGCGGGAAAAAAACAGGCTTGTTGAAGTGCTTGTTAAACTGCAGAAGCAGGAGACCCGTCGACAGAACTTAAACCCTCTCCTCTTTCAATGTAGTCGCCGGTGTTTAAGCATTTTGGATTTCCAGTGAGTTATGTTGACAACTTTCGTGTTGTCGACAAAAAAAAACACAGTTTGCAAGCTCTGCTATGTACGAATTACGTACGGTTCGTCCGATAGACAACACTGGCATCGCGATCCTCCGCCCGCCCCCGTTGCAAATCCGCTCGCGAAAAGTACACACTCAGGCCCTGTTTACACCGTCTTTGTTTTTAAATGGCATTTTAAAACGACAACGATTCGACTTCCACAGTGGCGTGTGGCATTTCTGAGCAGCCCTCCTTCCTCTCTGCCTCTGAAAATGCACATCACGTGACCACACAGACACAGACGCACATACATCATTGCGCTCGAGGCAGCAGGTCCAGGCAGTCAGAGGACTGCTTCAATCTTTCACTCACTTGTACTTAGTCATTTTAGCGAACACCTTAGATACTGTTGGCTGGTTCCTGTTGGTTGTGCGTCTTTTTTACCGACGCCATTATAACGACACAGATCACTGCCTATTCACGAGTCCCGCAGAAAAAGTGATTGAAAGGTGGTAATTATGTGTGTATCTTGCCTTTATTCATTTACTGTATGATTTGTTTATGGTTAAAACAAAGACCATGCAGGTCAGGTAGTTTAAACGGTAGGCTACAAATAATTAATTGGTCATTAATTAATTAATTATTCATAATCGAAAATTAAATCGAATCATGCCTTTAGAATCGAAAATGTAATCGAATCGAGGATTTGGAGGATCGTGACACCCTTATAACGAACCATAATAACAATGAACAAAATAACATTTATTTTAAAATAAGAACAATATAAATAATATATGATAACAGAAAAGAGTCAGGGCAAAATGGGATGGTCAACACAATTAAACATTCACTCTACAAACAAATGCTGTTTATTTCGCATCTAAACAAGCGGTACCTGTGTACCAATCAAAAAACATATAAAGAAATGTAAAAATCAATATAATAGAAATAATAGAAATTAAAGAGATGTCACTAAAAAATATCGTCTTAAACAAAAATAAACGTCCTTGGAAAAAAGTATGTATCCCAGACGAGCCCCCATTTGTTACAGCTGGCTCTTGATGGGTCATAATAACATAACGAACAAAATAACATTTATTTTGAAAAATAAATGACAAATAATATAAGATAAACGAAGAGTGAGGGCAAATCAGGCATTCAACACAGGTAACCGAGGAATAGAGCACACCAAATGCCATAATATTCGCATCCAAATGTGTGGCACCTGTGTACCAATCAAAAAACAGATAAAGAAATCTAAGAAAAGGTTGAGAGAAAGAAATATTTTTGGTCAAATGTAAAATAAATTAAATTAAATTAAATTAAATTAAAATTAAAACAAAAAACAAAGCCAAAAACATTTTTTTTCTGCAAATTATCTACTATAAATGAAAAATCGAAAATCAACCAATCAAAAACACTGCCTCGAAAACCTCATTAAATATTCATGCTCTCTGAATATTCACAGATGGTAAACCTGTTCAGCATCTGAAATATTATTAAAGCCATAAATATGCAAATAGAAATGTGAGGTATAGTTTACAAATGTCCAGAGTGAAATCTCCTTGACTACAAGCTTTAATTACTATCCCGGGGTGAAATATGAACGGTCTAAAACCGAACAAAAACCCAGGGTTAGGAATGAGCAAACTGCGGAGTGAAAAGCTTAGATGAGTATTTGTAGATGATGTTACGTGTCTATGAAGCACTGCGAACGCCTCCACACAATCTTTCTTTCAGATGTTCTGCAGTCAGAGAAAAGCACATGCATTGGTTTATATCTGTGGGTGTTTTTCGTGAATTGATTTCCTGAAATGAAGCTTCATGATCAGGGTTTGTGCCGGAAACACGCAGTGTATTCAAATACAGACAGAAATGCTGGTTTATTATGTGCATTTCTAGCTGTAACGGCAATAAAATATAGAGTGGTAATAATTTATTGATTAGTGATCTGAAAAGGAGGCGACACACTGCAAATCTAAACTACAAAAAAGCAGAGATTTATAAAAAATGCAACATATAAGCTGGGATTTTATTAATTTTCTTTGATATATATATATATATATATATATATATATATATATATATATATATATATATATATGTGTGTGTTGAGAAATAAACAAGGCTACTTCTAATGCTACTTCTAATTTTTATGATAACCAAAACAAACTTTCTTGGAAAAAAACGTGCATCCCGGACGAGCCCCCATTTGCTACAGTCGGCTCTTAAGTTGCAAATAATAAAAAAATAAATAAACAAATGCAACAAACAGACAAAATAACATTTATTTCAACATAAGCATAACATAAATAACATACGATAAACAAAAAGAAGAGTCAGAGACAAATGGGACAGTCAGCACAATTCACTAAGATCTATGGTGAGGCAATCACTCAGAGCCATTCACTCAACAAACGAACACTTTTTATATCCACAACCAAATGAGTGGCACTAATCAAAAAACAGTGTGAAATTAAAATGAATACGGTCTCCTATTGGATTTCACACTAATATAATGCAAGAGTAACATTTCAACAAAATAACAAAAATAAAGTAACATTAAGATAAATGTTTCAAAAATGTTAAATAAAGAATCAAGAATTAAGTACTTTTTTGAGAAAAAAATTGTTGAAATTTTAAAAAAAGTTTAAATAAAATGTTGAGAATAAAGTAACTGTTTCCAGAAACAACTTGTTAAACTTAAAAAAAAACATTATAATGCAAGATTAATCTAGTTCAATTAAATAAAAAAATTAAAAATTTCATATCAAGAATAACGTCTTGAGAAAAAACCTTTAAGTCTATAGTCTAAATAAAATGTTAAGAATAAAACTTTCAATTCAGAGAAAAAAAAATCATAAAATTAGGAAAACAATTATAAATAAAATTGAAAATAAATATGGTAAATTGAGAAAAAAGTTTATTTTTTCATTAAATTAATTAAAAATGTTATAATTTAACATTTAAGTAGTAATATTTCAAGATAAATTACACAAAAATATTAAATATAAAGCCCCCTTTTTTTTAGAAAAAACTAAAGTTGAAATTTGAAAAAGTCTAAATAAAATGTTGAGAATAAACACATTTATTATGAGATTATGAGTAAATTAAGTAATTGTTTTCAGACAATTACTCAGACATTCAACTCGTTAAATTTATAATGCAAGATTAAACTAGTTAAATTTCAATTAAATCACACACACACACACACACACACACACACACACACACACACACACACACACACACACACACACACACACACACACACACACACACACACACACACACACAAAAATCAAGTGTTTTGAGGGAAAAAAAAAACTTTAAGTCTAAAGTCTAAACAAATGTTGAGAAAAAAGTTAAAATTCTGAGAAAAAATTCTTTGCTCCCAGAAAAAACAAACAAACATGAAATTAGGAATAAAAATAATAAGTTAAATATAAAATAAACAGGCTGAATTAAGAACAAAAGTCTTTTTTAGGGAGATATAAAAAAAAGTTATAATTCAGAAACAAACTAGTAATATTTCAAGAATATTACATGTCAAGAATAAAGTCCTTCATTCATTCACTCATTTTCTTGTCGGCTTAGTCCCTTTATTAATCTGGGGTCGCCACAGCGGAATTAACCGCCAACTTATCCAGCACAATTTTACGCAGCAGATGCCCTTCCAGCCACAACCCATCTCTGGAAAACATTCACACACACACACTCATTCACACACACACTCATACACTCTGGACAATTTAGCCTACCCAATTCACCTGTACCGCATGTCTTTGGACTGTGGGGGAAACCAGAGCACGCGGAGGAAACCCAACACAGGGAGAACATGCAAACTCCACACAGAAACACCAACTGAGCCGAGGCTGAAACCAGCGACCCAGCGACCTTCTTGTTGTGAGGCGACAGCACTACCTACTGTGCCACTGCATCACTGAATAAAGTCCTTGTTTTAAGAAAAAGTAGGTTAAAATTTGAGAACTCTAAACACAATGTTCAAAATAAACTCAGAGAAAATAGTCATTGTTTGAAGAGCTCGATACATTTCAAGAAAAAAAGTTGAAAAACATATTTAGAAAAAAACTCATTCAATTTTGAGGGAAACAAGTCTAAACAAAAAAGAACAAATTTAATAATAATAAAACTTTTTTTTTTTTAATAAAACTTATTAAATTGAGAAAGTAAAATAGTGAGAATAAGTTAAATTAAAGTGAAATTCCAAGTAAAAAGTTGTTTAGAGAGAGAAAAAAAGATGTGAGGCGCTGTCCAAGAGGCTGGTGCTGAACTGGTTGATGTGGATGGTAGAACTGCGAGAAACTGTACTTCTAATAAAAACCTCTTGATTATAGTGTCCACTCAAGTGAGATTTTAGTTTTGTACTTAACTTTTGTGCTTCAAGAAGCTGCTTTCAACATACAGGACATTAAATTCTCCTTTAAATGAGAGGTGACATTTTACTTTTCTGTGTAAAGATAATGAGCTTAGCTTAGTGTTTAGCACACAATACTTAACCATAGTCTCCCACCGTAGTCCTGACCATTGATCAGTGTATTCTGCAGTTATATGTCAGCATACAGTTGAAGCCCCCCTGTATATTTTTGTGCCTAATTTGTGTAATGGAAACATTTTCTTCAACACATTTCTAAACATTATATTTTTTATAACTAATTTCTAATAACTGAATGCTTTTATCTTTGCCATAATGACAGTACATAATATTTCACTATAGTTTTCAAGACACAAGTATTCATCCTAAAGTGCATTTCAAAGGCTTAACTACGTTAATTAGGCAAGCTATGGTAATTAAGCCAGTTATTGTGAAGCGCAGTAGGTGGTGCTGTTGCCTCACAGCAAGAAGGTGCTGGCTCGCTGGTTCTGATCAAAGTTGGGGTTTCTGTGTGGAGTTTGCATGTTCTCCCTGCCTTCGCGTGGGTTTCCTCCGGGTGCTCCGGTTTCCCCCACAGTCCAAAGACATGCAGTACAGTTGAATTGGGTAGGCTAAATTGTCCGTAGTGTATGAGTGTGTGTGTAAATGTGTGTGTGGATGTTTCCCAGAGATGGGTTGCGGCTGGAAGGGCATCCACTGCATAAAAACTTGCTGGATAAGTTGGCGGTTCATTGTGCTGTGGCGACCCCGGTTCAATAACGGGACTAAGCCGACAAGAAAATGAATGAATGAATGAATGAATGGTTTGTTCTGTAGAATATAAAAAAATATTCCTTAAGAGGGTTAAGGTTAAGGGTTAATAATATTGACCTTAAAATAGCTTAAAAAAAAACTGCTTTTATTCTAGCTGAAGTAAAACAAATAACTTTCTCCAGAAGAAACAATATTTTAGGAAATACTGTAAAAAATTTCTTTGCTCCGTTAAAAATTATTTGGGAAACAAAAAAAAAAGGAGGGCTAATAATTCTGACTTCAACTATATATACAGTGTGTACCATTTAACCTGGAACTGTATATTAATACTCTTTATTAATGACTATATATCAGAACTGACTTTCATAAAATAAAACCAAAAATGTGCATTTCAATTCAATGTACTTCCAATAGACTACATCTATATATGCAATGTGCTGCAGCAGATTTAGTTTTTTTTTTTTTTTATGTGAGAGCCAACATTTTTTTCTCTTGTTTACAGTATTAGTTTCATCATTCTGCTGACTCTACAAATGGACTCTCGAGGACATGCATTATGTATAAGCTCTCGCTGCAGGAACGACTGCATTTGCCATCTTACGTCAGACGTCAAGCAGATGTCCTCTACAGAAGACCAGCAAATCGTCAAAAAAAATCTATCTGGCCTCTAACAGACATCAGCCGCTTCAGTGGAAAACACAGCTCAAATCAAACACATTCAAAAGACAGAGCTCACTTTCTTCATTTGTATTCTTTGCGGATAAAACATTATACTTGAGAAAAACAAGACTAAGGGTGCTTTCACATCTGTAGTTTGCTTCATTTTGGTTGGACCAAGGGCAAAAAATAATACATTGTTGCATTTCTGCCGTCTTTGGGTCGTTTTCAAAACACACTGCTGGATTTGGTCCGCACCAGTTGAAAAGAACCAAAATGCAGTCATCTGACAAAATCCTCATCTCTCATTGGCCAGATGTTGTTGAACATATTTCCGTGACTGCTTTTCGATTGGTCAGAATTCATGTGCGGTAAAATGCTAATGAACTCCCGCAGGTAAACAAGCTGGCAGACACAAAATGTCACTTTTTACTATGGAGCGACGACTGCGCTGCTAATTGTATCCCTGCTTTAGACAAACTATACATTTCGAGAATGAAGCGCGGCTGGAAAACAGTGTTAAAGCATCGCACGTCACTTCAGGAGGAGGTGTGAATTCATTTAGCTAAACTTTGTCATGGTCATCTTGCGGAAATATTACCAACGATCCATCAGGTAATGTATTCCCTCTCTTTCTCCCTGTTGGTAAAGCGCTGTCAACAAATATTTTTCCTCCATATCCCATAGTGCACAGCGCATCCGCCTACGGCAGCTGGATTAGTCCAAAAGACGCAGTACTTTTTGCGGTTGGGTCTGTTTTAGTTCGGATCAAATTCTCACCATGAAAAAAACTGCCCCAGGGTTCATTTAAAACTGTACCGAGACCACCTCTTCAAGCAGGTCTCGGTGCGCTTTTTTGTTACGCTTTTGGTGCGCACTGGAGTATGATTTCTGCATTCACATCTGCCCAAACAAACCAAACCAAGAGGGAAAACGAACTCTAGTACGATTCAACCAAACTAAATAAGGCAGGTGTGAAAGCACCCTAAGAATAAGAGCCTTCTTTTCAGCTTTATACACACACATGCCTAAACACAATCTACAGATCTCAAAAAACACATCTAAATCTATACACGACAGAAAAAAAAGAAAAAGAATATACCATAGAGTTCAGGAAACTTGGGAACCCTTGTAAGACCTTGAGATAAAACAAAAGTTATTATAGCTCAATCAGAGGTAAGGGAGTAAATATTTTAAGTATTTGGGATGTCAATTTACACAAGCTAAAAGGCATACTTCAAAATAAACAATTAACAATTTCGATGAAAAACACGACCAAATCAAAGTTCTTTTTGAGTTTAATTCGGCAGTTTGAAGCAGGTCTCCAAAGCAAACTTTTTTGGGGAGTTTGGTTTAAGTGGTATTTGCACAGCGGGAAACATAAATATTGAGCACTTCCCCATTTTTTTCAGAAAACATATTTCTAAAATTAGGCAGCTTTTAAAAAGCACAATAGGACCGCTTTTACATTTAGATATACTTGACTGTTGATAAACAAACAACATTAAGAAAAGACAGGACAAAACAAAACAAATCTAAGAGGATGTCTAAAGGAAATTGTTCTCTAGGCTCTAAAAGAGATGTTTAGCTGCGTTACCCTCCATAACTGTAATCCACGCCACTACCATTGATGTCACTGCGGAGAAAGCAGAGCAATATACTGAATATAAACCTTTTTAGCTAATAAATCTTTAATATTTTTATGACACAAGCATGGGAATATTTTTTACTGTCAGTAATACTTCAAAACAACTCTGTCAACTTTTGATGTTGAATATTCAACTCTACAGTTTAACAAAGTGACTTTTATTGACAATTTAGTAGTTTGAAACAATATAATGTATAAGAAGCTTATTTGCATTTTATTTAAGTAGTTTGTTATACTGTTATATAATTATAAATATACTGTTATATAAATATAATCTATTTAATTATTATAAACCACCAGAATATCACATTTCTGGCGAATAAATCTCAAAAACAACACAAAAATGCATATTTTTTTAATTTCACCTTCCTTCGTTGAATACGATTTTCAATTATGACACAATCTACGTTGTAAAAGCGCTAAAGAATTAAAGATGAATTAAATTTTAAAAAATGACAAAAAGCAAGATGTACGAATGAACCGAAGTGAAAACTATTGGCCGAAAAAGTGGAAACCAAGGCCAAAAAAACAACAACACAGAAATAAATTCCACCAATTATTAGTACCATTTTATTTATGTCTATGACTTTACAAACCTTACTAAAATCAAGTCATTGCAATTGCATTCATTAATATCAAAGTTTCAAAGAATAAACCAATTACAAATAATGAAAAGTGTATTTTATCTATAAACTAATTTCGAGAGGATCACATGATTATGATTGAACACGGCTGGTTCTGCATTAGCTATGTATGATCCACCAATCAGGCCATTCCTAACCCACTATAAAGAGCCAGGGTTTCTCACTACAGCCATCTTCGATTTGAAGAATCCCCCCTTCCACCCCTACTTCTCCTTTCCCTTTATAGGGCGGCACGGTGGCCCAGTGGTTAGCACTGTTGCCTCACAGCAAGATTGTCACCAGTTCTAGTCCTTTAACAGGCCGGCGGTCGTTTCTGTGCATAGTTTGCATGTTCTTTCCGCGTTCGCGTGGGTTTTCCCCGGGTTCTCCGGCTTCCTCCCACATTTTAAAAACATGCACTACAAGTGAATTAATCAGTCTAAATTTAGCACTACAGTCAATCTCTCATCCTGCAGCATATCTCTTCATAGCATTCATTTTAGTCATCAGCTCTTATCAAGGGGGGAGTTGTCGAGATCTTCCTGAGCTCAAAGCTCCCCTCTTGCCCTGCAAACGGGAGGGAGCCCAAGGCTCAAGGACCTTTTGAGCTCAGGGCTCTCTCCAGGGACAGCATGCCAAACTTGCTTATAATCAATCATCAGCTAAGTGTGAACTCTTGAATGTTTATTTAGCACATTGCAGCAATGGGTTATTAGTTCTGTGAAGGGGACTTAGAAAAAAATAGCAACTTTATCTCTGCTTGCGGTGTGAAAGTAGTCTCCCCGCATCCATTCCTGTCTGGATCCTGGATCAATTTGCATGCACGTTGCTTAATTTCTGCATTCAAGTAATGATCGTTATATCGTGAATCAAGTACAGTCATGATGAAGTGCAGAGGATCTGAATAGACAGATATTCTACAGACATGCTGCTTCAGACAATGTGTAGGCTGCGGTTTTTGTTTGCATATACGCTTTTGGTCGTGTTGTTTTGGTGAATGAAATTTTTCACCTTTGGGCCATTTTCGGCAGCTGAATATTCAGTGCATTCCAAACAAAATAATCAAAATAAAAAAATAATAACTATACATTTTTTTTATACTTTATAGCTTTATATCGTGTGCGTCAAAGATGTAGTCATTGATATAAGCCTGCTAACTGATCAAATGACAGAATATGTAAACTTAGTTTATGTATATAATAATTAAATAATAATAATAGTTAAAAGCCTGGGTGCTGGTCCACAGAGGGCTCCTATTTTGAGGGCTCGTCACGAGCTCAGATTTGGATGACCAATCAAAGGAAAGTTGGCATTTCAGCACCACCTGCATGTGTATAATGAATTTTGAAGTCGTTTTACCTAAATAAAAAAAAATAATAAAATAAAAAATAAAATAAAAAAAATCGAGCCAAAAATCTCTTTTTTTTTGTTTCTTGTGAACAAATGAAAAACTGAAAAACGTCCGTTTTCTTCATTTTCCTTTTTTTGTTTGAAAAAGGATATGGATTGGATGGAAGATACCTTGATTCAAAATGTCTTTATAAACTGTTCAACAATATTTTCTTTCTCGCTATATTACTTCACACAGTATGCCAGGCTTTGCAGGGTCCAAAAAAAAAAAGAAAACAGATGCCTTTTTTTTCCCAAGCCGAAAACACTAAATGATGACAGATCTTTATTCAGACCCTCTGCGTTCTGACATGTAACACCCACTTCCAGCAATCCGTTTAATCTCTGATGGATTTTGTGTAGTTTCGTCTGCAGTACATCAGATTAGAGAAGTAAAATGGGTTGTGAACTGCGTTTGACTCAGTAGCCCACTCATGTAAACTGACACTTAAACCTTGCTGGAACAGATATTGCGGGTTGAAGGGTTTTGAAGACTGACTGTCTGTGTTTTCATCCATCACTATCACACACACACAGTCCACCCTTGTGGAACGACAGTCTTTTTTGACACTTTGCTGTCAGGATAATCTTCTGCACAACAGACCATGAAAAACCTAACATAAGATGAGCATGTCAGCTTGTTATAGTGGCAATAAAAATTTGTGTGAAGGTCATTGGATAAGATATAAAACATCACAGCACAAATTATGCTGGAGATTCATTCAGAGACATTTTTGTATTATGTTGTAATGTTCGGTAACTCTAAAGTAGCTCTTCCTCTTTTGAAAAGCATTGTCTTGATGGAATTTCTAACAAATATCTCTGATTAACCCTTATGTTCTGTTGGGGATGTTTTCATCCACTTTCTGCAGGAGACAAAACACTATTGGAAATACTGTGAAAAATTTCTAGATCAGTGAAATATAAAAATAAAATAAATAAATAAATAAATAAATAAATAAATAAATAAATAAAATAAAAAATAAAGTAAAAAAAATTAAAAATAATAAAATAAAATAAAATATATAAATAATAAAATAAAATAAAATGAAATAATTGAATGAATGAATAGATAAATCACAATTATTTTAAGGCTAAAAAATAATAAGTTATATTTTGTAAAGCCCCAGTACTTGCAAGAGTAATATCATGTGTAATATCTTGTGTACCTTCTCCTGCATTGTAGGCCAGTATGGCTCTGGTCCTCATCTGCTTGCCTTCAGCGTTTTTGCTTGAGCAGGTCTGAGAACAGGTGGACCATTCAGTCCAGAGGCTCAGAGCACAGTCTTTAGGACAGGGAACCACACAGGGCACAGGCGAAGGGTAAACCACATCCGAACACATCTCCTTCTCCACCTCTACACCTGAAAAACAACAATTCAAATCAAGTTTATTTGTATAGCGCTTGTCATTATAATTGTTTCAAAGCAGTTTTACAAAAGGTGCACATTATAGCATTACCATCAAATTCACAAAAGTTAGCATTACTAGTCACTATAACTTTATTAGTCATAACTTTAACCAATCAACTAGTAAATAATAACTTTTAACAGTTAAAGTTATGACTGTATATATAAACATAGTTAACATGCAGCCACAGTATATAATATATAGGTGATGTCTGTGTACATGTTAAATGTTTAACACATAAAAAAGTCAGAAATGCAGCATTCATGAAGCACCACACTGCAAAAAAAGCTTTTTTTTTTACTTAGAGATTTTGTCCTGTTTCTAGTCCAAATGTCTTACAATTCTTAAATCAAGTAGCATTTTCTAGACAAGTTAAAATATTATTTTGTTTTTAGAAGCAATATGTCAAAATTAAGGGCCCTATCATACACCTGGCACAATAAGGCGCAAGACTTAGAAACATTGTTTAAATACTTTATGGACTCATGGGTGTTCTGGTCTATAAAGAAAGTGTGTTAAGGCATTGTTGGCATGTTGTTATTTTGAGGAACTGAAATAGACTGCGCTATTGACCAACTAAAAGATGGCCTAAAGTCCAGCACAGAGTGCGATAGTTATACGCCTATGCAGGTCCAAATGCTTACACATTGCTCAATACACACAGGATGAAGAGCAATAAACAAATATCTATACATATGAAACAATAAACAAATAAAGGATTAAAATGTTACAAAAATTATAATTTTCTACATAAATACAAAAACCACTGCCTGCATGCCTTCATCATCTCGGGGGGCTTTCTCAGTTTATTCATGACAAATTGCAATGGTATAATGTTTTATTATATGCTGTATTACTTAATATATGCATAATTACATTTGGTTTAATAAAAACATGGTTAGATTTGTCCACCTGTCTGGTTTTGAAGACGTATGCATCACCATATGGGGGATAGTAACAGGACGTGTGTTTGGATACAACTCAGTTTTTTAACCACACTTTATTATCGTTCATTTATTTGTTTCCTGGAAACTACAACTGAATTTAGAAAAAGTTTTGAAACAAATCTTTGCACTTGAATGAAATTGAATGTGTGGGCTAATGCAGTGGTTCCCAAGCTTTTTTTGCATGAGGCCCCCTTTTCCCCAGGAAAATATTGTAAGGCACCCCTCAACATTAAGGGCCCTATCATACACCCAGCGCAATGTGGCGCAAGACGCGGCGCAATACTCTTTTGGTAGTTTCAGCTTGGCGCAAGAGTCGTTTTGAGGCATTGCGCTACGCTGTTTAAATAGCAAATGCATTAGCGCTCATTTTTGCGCCCATAGGCGTTCTGGTCTAAAAAGGAAGGCGTTCTGAGGCGGTCCGCTGGCGCGTTGCTATTTTAAGAAACTATAATAGATTTTTCATTAGACCAAAACTAACCCGGTCTAAACTCCGGCGCAGAGTTGCGCCTCGCTTACGCACTGCTTAATACGCACAAGAGAGCAATAGGCAAATATCTTTACATATGAAAAAAATTCAATATTAAGGATATATATAGTATATAATAAGAATAGATATAGGATATAAATATAAAGGATTGAAATATTACAAAACATATTATTTTCTAGCCTATATAAATGTGAAAAACCACTGCTTTTATGTCTTCTTCATCTCGGGAGGCTTTTTCAGTTCATTCATAACAATTTGCTTTTGTATAATGTTATTATTATTAGCAGTATTATTTATTATATCCATATTTATATTTGTTTTATTAAAAACAAGCTTAGATTTGCCCACCTGTCAGGTTTTAGACCATATGGGGCATGGCAAGTGTATTTGGAAATAACTCAGGTTTTTGAACACACTTCGGTATTATTATTCATTTATTCGTTTGCTGGAAATTAGAACTGAATTTAGAAATAGATTTGAAACGAATATTTGCGCTTAACAAACGAAATTAATTATTTATAGGCTAATTGATGTCTGTGCGTAAAGGTTTCCCTATCCAAGAGCGAAAGTGAAAGTAGATCATTTATCTCTCATTCTCACGCAGTAGATGCTCTGTTTAACAGTTTTCTGTTAAAAAAGTGTTAACAGTTAACTGTTTGCTTGTGAAATGCTCATTTTTTCCACTTGGACTTACTTTGCGTCCTGTAAATAGCGAATGCGCTCTTGGCGCGTCGCAGCTGGCTCTGAAAGGTAATGGGAGATGAGACTCTAATTGGTTTATTCTCAAAACACACCTATAACTCACTAAGAAAATAAAACTCAACCCTTTTAGACCATGCGCCATGACGCAAGGCAGATTTCCCGTCCTTAAATTAGCAAAAACACATCCTGACACGCCCTAAAAGCGTTTGCGCCCTGCGTTTTGCGCTCTGCGCATGAACCGTCAAAATAGAGCCCATAATGTTATTATCACACATAAGTTTGCAGTAAGGATTATTAATTAAATTTTTTTCAAACAAACAGTATGTTTATTATCATAGATATGTTTATGCACAAATAATAGCCTAATGTAAAATATAAAAGCAAAACCTTAGTAGGCCATTAGTAACTGAAAAACAACGAGCCTTTGGCCTTTAAATTGGCCCTATATTAGTTGATAACTAATTGACCATTTTTTAAAAGTTTCTTGTCAATAGCTGTGACGTCCCTCATCTCATTTTGGGTGTGTGTCAATTCTTTTGGCTAGCTCTCCAAAAATGCTCTGGGCTTGTCGCAGTATTGGGGATGAGTCGTCTGCAAATGTCTTATTAATTTGGACGGCCTTATTCATTCGTTAGCAAGAACTTTGGTGTAGATACTACACTGTGGCTGGGTCAGGGACTCTTTGCTTCGAGAAAATGGAATAAAACCATAGTTCAGGTAACTATCTTGGTATTTCCTGCATTGTGTTTCCAGTATTGCTAGCGCTGCGGCCCGAAATGTTTAGAGCAGTGGTCACCAAACTTGTTCCTGGAGGGCCGGTGTCCTGCACATTTTAGCTCCAACCCTAATCAAACACACGTGAACAAGCTAATTAAGGTCTTGCTAGGTATACTTGAAAGATCCAGGCAGGTGTGTTGAGGCAAGTTGGAGCTAAACCTTGCAGGGACAACGCCCCTCCAGGACCGAGATTGGTGACCCCTGGTTTAGAGCTTCCTCACCTGGGTCCAGTATGCTTGGATCATTACTATTAGCTGCTGAACGCAAATCAGTGAGTCTTTTTCGGGGAAGACGAATTACATATTTGTTTTTTTATTTTTTATTTATTTATTATTATTTAAAAATTATTATTATTATTTTTTATTTACTTATTTATTTTTTTACTTTTTTTCTGGTCAGCCAGGGGATAAAATGAACTAAGGCAACATGATCCTTCTCCTAATTGTCCAGTGCAATTTCTTTTAAAAATATGATGTGACCTCCCACAAAGCTTACTAAGGCCCCCTTATGGGCCTTGACCCCCCTGTTGGGAACTGCTGGGCTAATGGATTCTTCAGTAGAGTTCGCACAACAACGTTTCCTTACTTAACTAAGGTATAGGAGTAAAGAGTAAGAGTAAAGAGAAAGTAAAAAGGCCGAATGGAGGAGGCTCATTCTTTATCCTCTCACTGTAGATGCTCTGTTTAACTGTTTTCTCGCTAGTGAATCGCTCAGTTTTTCCTCTTACAGAGCCTGCCATGTATATAGCAAATGCGCCATGGCGCAAAACAACTGACTCTTAAAGGGAATGTGAGATGAGAGTCTGATTGGTTTAATGCACATGATGCTTAAAACACACCAATAACTCTTTAAGAGAATAAGCACAACCCTGTTAGACCATGTGCTGTGGCACAAACCGTCCTTAAATAGCAAAAGTGGATTCGGACATGACCTTTATACTTTTGCATAAAAAATAAAGCTTAAAAACTCTGAGGAAAAAAAGTTTTTTTTTTTTTGTTTTTTTTTTTGCAGTGAGTCTTCTCTCATGATGTTTCCACCATGAACAATAACTAGTACAGCATATAATATGCATATACATCATGCATACATTTATGCACTTGAAAACCAGGCCTTCAGTTTGAGTTTCTGAAAATACTTTTATCAGTGCACTACACTGGAATTCAAGATAAAATGTTAAACATTTTTTTAAATATGCATACAGACTCCCACTGGGTTTTGACCACTTACAAATTCATATTTTATGTAATGGTAACAGCTGGTGTAAGTAGATTTGACCACACACGTTCTGAAGGTTATACAGAAGTGGAAATGACCTTTAAAATCACATGTCTGGGTAATAATTAATGCCAAAAATGAAAAAAACAACAACAACAAAAAAAGTTAGATTTTATGACATAACTTTCACTAAAACATATGCTGGATAAGTTGGCAGTTCTTTCTGCTGTGGTGACCCCTGATTAATAAAGTGACTACGCCGAAAAAAAAAAAAAAAACGAATAAGTGAAAATCATCACTGAGAAAGAAGGAAGCTACATGCAAAAGAAAACACAATTCCAGAAGCATTACATTAATAAAGCTTTAGGCATTAAACACACTTAACCAAAACAAAAACAAATGTCATAAAGCAAAACACGTTAATGGACCCAAAATGAGCCAGCATTTTCTTTAACGCAAAACACGACGCATCCAGACAAGCTTTTAATGCATTTTAGAACAATCTGTTGTCCTGTTTTGAATCCGTGCCATATAGAAAAACAGCGGAAAGCCACCATGCAGATGGTTTTGAAGGACAGACGCAAAACATGCACAAGCGTTTTCAGTGTGTCTTCATGTTTTGGCAGCATTCAATACCACGCACAGCCTCTCTCTCAAGGGTTCTTATCATATCTTTTACTTTGAGCCAAATATGTGCGGTATCAGCTTGGTTTTGGCTTTAGCTCAGTGACACGCTGAGCAGAAGAAGAAAAAAGAAATCTCTGCTTGAGCGCTGAACTGCTAACACCCAATAAATATTTCCATCAAAAGCAGGGACACTCCAAGT